CCCGCCCACACACACTTCCTTAGGGTCAATGCAAAAGCTCTAGAACCCAGAACCCAAGATTCAGGGCCCCCAATCCAAGGCTAGACCCCCAAACTTCCTTCCTCTCATGCTGCTCCCCCTAGGCAGGGGTGGAGAGAGGGAGCCCCTACCTTGGGGCCGGGTGGTCCTGAATCCCCACGCGGCCCTGCATCACCGGGGTCTCCTCGTGATCCCTGGGGACAGAGGATAAAGTGAGGAGCTGGTACCACCAGGGACTGATGCCCACCTAGGTGGTCACAGGATGTTTGTGACCCATGCCCACCCACAGGGACGGTCAGCTCTGACCACTGGGCAACACTGACTGGTTCTTCTCCTGCATGCACGTAGACCTCCATCTGCCCTGGCCATCTGCACAGCAGGTGTGGGTGCCAGGCTGGTAGGGACATGGGAAAAGCGGCCAGCTTCCGCCTTCAATAGCAGAGGGTGCTGGGAGCCTGGGGCTTGCCATGACCACGAGGAGAGGCCGGTCTGGCTTCCAGGGCTGTGGGCTCCTCTTCCTGCTGCCTGAGCATGGCCGTGGGGACAGTGACCTGAAGCCACTTGTCCTGCCCAGAGAAGGGGCACTGTAGAGTGTGGGTCCTGGAGGGGGCAGTTGGGGGTGGCTCTTGAGGCCCTCCAGGAAGGCCTGCACTCACCTGCTTCCCAGGCTGGCCAAGAGCCCCCTGAGGGCCTCTGGGTCCAGGCAGGCCGCGGTCCCCCTGAAATGAAAGGAATCCAGGCTGTAAAGACCTGGCTGTTGAGAGGCCTTCAGAGCCGGGGTTTCACCATGGACATGAGGCTGCATGGCTGGCAGGGGGCAATGGTGGAGCTTGGAGTGGGTGGGTAGAGGGTCTGTGATGAGACCCATTGGCCCCACCTCTAGGGCTGCCTCTCAGCCCTTCACCCTGCTGAGGGAGATGAGGATGGGGAAGGGACGGATGCAGGGAGGGCTGACCCAGGCAGCCATTGCCCAGTGGGGAACTGGGCTTTAAATCCGTTGGTCACATCTGGCCCCTGCCTCATTGACCCACCCTGGGGACAGGGACCTGCGCTGGCTGTTCAGCTAACCTATGCCCTGCACCCTGCTCACCTTGGCGCCTTTGTTTCCAACCTCTCCGGCCAGGCCCCGGGGCCCCTCGGGACCAGGATCCCCCTGTGAAGAGAGAGGTCCAGTGAGGTACTAGCAAGGTCTCAGGCCTGGGTCCCTCTCACCTGAGAGGTTGGGCATGCTGGGGCGTGGCCACGTTAACTCCTTGCAAAGGAAGACTCCACACCAGTGCCGAGTCGCCCCTCACTGTGTGCCTGCAGGCCCCTGCAGTAGGGCGTGGCACCCGTGGGGTGGGTAACAGAGCGGCCTTCACAAGGAAGCTCAGGCTAAGGTCTTGCTTGGCAACTTCCCAGACCCTTGGGGAACAACTCCCCACTCCTCCACCCCCCGCACCAGGAGGTCCCGGGAGTCTCTTTGGTCCAAAGATCCCACCCCATCAGGACCATGGCGGTGAGGCTGGCCCTGGTGGCCACCACCCAGCACATCCTCTCGGCTCACCTTCTCCCCCTTGGGGCCATCATTCCCAGGGCTGCCCTTGGTTCCGGGGTCGCCTCTGCGTCCCTGCAGAGAGAACAGAGCTGAGGCTGAGGGCCCTCAGGACCCTGTACGCAGGCCCTGCTGCACCAGCTCGGCCTTGCGCGAGGCAGTTCGGCCTCAGAGGCAATGTGGGTGCAGTAGCAGGAGAAAGGCAGGCTGGGAGCAGCCTGGAGCGGAGTCCAGAAGGGGCGAAGGAGACCTGAGCCCTTCCACCCTGGCCCCTGGGACCACCCAAGAGCCCCTTCCCCATGTGTCCACCAGGGCAGGGTCTGGCGGGAACTCACAGGCTCGCCTTTGGGCCCACGGGGCCCAGGTCCGCCCTTGCCTCCTTTCACACCGGGACTCCCTGGGGCGCCATTGTTGCCTTGATATCCCTGCAGAGAGAGTGGGGCGGCTCAGCTTCCGGAGTGTGGCTTCTCCTGGTTGTTGGATCCCCCCAGTCCTGCCAGCCTGTCACAGGGGCTGTGAGGGCTGCCCCCTTGTGTGGGCAGGGCTGGAGGGACTTACCTTGCTGCCTTTGGCCCCGCTGTCACCAGGGGGCCCTCTGCGTCCTGGGTGGCCAGCGTCCCCCTAGAAGGATTTGGACACATCAGCCGCAGGCCCTCTCAGCAAGGCACGAGTGCAGAGGATGCAGGGTGGGGCTGTAGCCCGGGCCTCCCTTCATGTCCAGGGTCCCCAGGATGACCAGGGCTGCCCAGGAGAGCCTGCTCCAGCGCCATTGCACAGGCTCAGCCCCACTCCCTCCCCACCCCGAGTGAGCAACTGAGCCAGTCAGCCCTGGACCTTGGGTAGAAGCCCCAAGATTCAAGGAAGGTGGGGGTGGGGAGGAGGTAGAGGGAGCACTCTGGAGGTTGAGTCTCCTCCTGCTGAGGCCACTGGCCATGGGTGAAGATGGATGCCTTCTTTCTCCTGAGTGTCCCTGGGCAGCCAGGGAGAAGTGACAGGGCAGGTGGTCTATGCAGGCAGGGGACCCCCACAGGTGCCCTGCAGGCAGCCTCTGGCAGGCTTGGGCAGGAGGGTGGCCTATGGCTGTCGGTGACCATGCTAGGACCACTGTCCCTCTAAGTGGCACAGAAGCTCCCAAGGGCCCCCAAAGCCCCCAAGGGCAGGCTTCTCGGTGGCCATCTCAGCCTCACTGTGCGCCCCCAAGCCCTGGAGCAGCGGCGCCTTTGCAGAGCAGACACGCACCTTGGCACCTTGGTCTCCAGGCTCCCCCGGGTTGCCTGCATCCCCTGAGTAGCCATCGGGGCCCTGGGAAGAAGGGGCGAGAGGTGAGCCCAGGGCCCGGCAGAGTGGCCGGCAGAGTGGCCCGGCCCTGGGGGCATTCTTCCTGTGGGTGAGGTCAGCTGAAGGCACAGGAGGGGCAACAAGAATTCCACTACTGGGACCTGGGGGCACCCCTGCCCACTATGAGCTCAGCCCCGGATGCCCCGTCCCTCCCACACAGCCAGGCCCAGCCTCAGGGAGTTTCCTCAGGGGCTGACAGAAGGTTGTGGGTCTCAAGCAAACCACCCCCCCTGCCCCCCAGCCTCCAATTTGAGCAGGGCAGCTAGCGCCTAGAGAAGAATGGGCCTGCCCCAGCTGCCTAGTTCCCGGTGGATGCTGGCCCGGTACTGGCAGGTCAGTGGGAAGGTGCTGGGTCCACTCAGGACATGCCCAAGTGTGAGTGACCCTGGACTCCCTCAGCTACCTTGCGCAAGGGCTGGCTGTCAGCACCCACTGGTGGTCTGGCATCTCCTGAGTCACCAGCCTCTATGGAGTCCCCAGAAATCAAGCCCATGTGGAATCCAGAGACACACTTACCCTGTTCCCGGGGTCACCTTTGCAGCCTGGAGGCCCGATGCGCCCTAGCTTGCCCTGGAAGGAGAAGAGGGAACAGCAGAGGGGTCAAGGACGACCGCAATGACCCGTGTATGTTGGTGAGAGCAGTGCAAACCGGCACGGTTAACGCCAGCACCACAGAGCCTGCTTACGGGGCTCTCTTCAAGGGCAACCAAGGCCACTCGAATGTGCCTTCTGAGCCTCGACTGCCCTGGCGGTGACTCTGTGAGGGGCCAGAGCTAGTCCCCAGGACGCTGCCAGGAGATAGGAGCCAGAAGTGCTCCTCCCCTGCCTGTGTGCGCATGCAAAGTTGGGCTGGTGTAAGTGTGTGAACTGCCAGGTTTTGTCCCTGGGTGTGTGTGAATGGCAAATTCCTCATGTATGTAAGTGTGTGCACGTGCACATGTCTATGTGAACATGTGTGCATGTGAACTCCCAGGTCTAGGCTTGATTGGAGTATCCTGCAGGGCAGGTGCAGACACTGGTGAGGTCCAGGCCTGGTTTGCAGGCGCTGAGGGCCACTTCATCCTTGCCACGTTCTTATTTTGCCAGCACACACGGTACTGGAGAACATGGACACCCCAGGTCCAGCAGACTAGAGACCCAGGCTCGATTGGGTGTGGCCTGCAGGGCCCAGTGATCTGCCCCTGGGAAAGGACACGCTGAGAGCGAGGAGGCCTCGCCGGAGTGGGCCATGCAGATCTCATGAGGCCCGTGTGAGCTGCACCCCTGCTCTGTTTTGTCCTGTAACATTGGAAACCCTTCACCCCACACTGGACAGCCCAATCCAGTCCCAGTCCCAGGGCAAAGCACGCGACTCAGATACCTTTTGTCCATCGGTCCCGTTCTTGCCAGCCAGGCCGGAGGCCCCCTAGATAGGAAAAGGAGGAAGGACTACATCAGCTCCGATGGTGAGTCCCTGAGGCCGCAGGAAGGTAGGTGCCCACCTGGCCCAGCCTACTTACCTTCCGGCCGTCGGCTCCAAATTCGCCCTGTGGGGAAGGACAGTCAGGTTATCAGCTGGTACCTTCAGCCGCAGACACTGTTGCTGGTGTCTACGAGGCTGGAGTCAAGTGAGAGGCCGGGAAAGTCCCCAGGACAAAACCATCTCCAGGACAAGGCCCAGCCTGTCCCCCGCAAGATGTGCAGCGGGGCTTTGGGGGTGAGCTGCGGCTGAGGCTCCATTCTTGGGCTGTTCTGAATCAGAACCTCACCTTCTCTCCTTTGAAGCCAGGAACACCCTGAATAGGAAGGAAGGAAAAGGCCATTAGATGGAGGCTTGCTGGTGAGAGAGAACAGACAGGGCAGGAATGTAGACAAGGAAGGGCCAGCAGGCCGAGGGGCAAGAGAGTGGGATGTTGGGAGCTCCTCAGATGCTAGAAGACTCTTCCCTGGAGGGCAGAGTGTGTGACAGCCCAGGGATTGGGGTCATCAGCCTCAGGGGAGACGGATGCGGGGTCAGGTGGGGGGTCCAGTTTGGGGATAGCACTCATCATGATGCTTAAATTCCTTGGCAATGCGGGGCAGGAGGGGCTGGAGACTGGGCCAGAGATACTTGTGACTTAAAAACACCGGGGCTCTTTAGAAGGATAAGGACTTGGGGTGCAAGTCTGCTTCTGGGTCCCACCAGTCCCATACTAAGCCTTCCTGTATCAGTGACCCCTGATCCCTGACCCCAGAACCCGGACACCCTTGATTTGTCTACAGTCCCCAGGTGGGGCAGACCATAACTTGCCTTTGGTCCTGGGAATCCAATGGGGCCTTCGATGCCTGGATCTCCCTGTGGAAGAAGCACACAGAGTGGCGGCAATCAGCCCAGCCCTGGGCTGCTGGCGCTGACAGGACAGGGTGGGGATCGGTGAAGTGGTGAGGATGTGTGTGTGTGTGTAGGGGGTTAGTTGAGGGTACACTCACCTGATGTCCCTTTTGTCCAGGCTCTCCTGGCTCACCCATGTTGCCTTTGGCGCCCTACAAATAGACAATAGGAGCAGGGCTGAGTGGTGTGTGCTGCAGTCACTGTCACCTTCACTGGTCTTCACATCCAACCGCAGTCACCCCAGTGGCAGCGTCCAATGACTCCAGAAACAGCCAAAGTCCCCCAGGAGGTCACCGCACTGCTGTGGGCAGCCAAAGCTGTGCCCTAGGAGCATATTCATTCCCAGGATTAAGGTGGTGGCTGGGCACTGCACTTAGGATGGGAAGAAGCCAGAAAGAAGCAGAGGAAGTCTGGTTGGTAGCCTGAGAAAGACGAGGCTCTCTGTTTGCTTAAAGAATCACAGCCTCAGAAACCCTGTGCAGGGTCTTGACCAGTTGGAACCAGCTTGACGGCAGTGTTTCTAGGAACTTTCTTTCCAGTTTCTGATGCACATGGAGCGCTGAAGTGACTCATATTCTGGTGGTGAATTCTGGGAGGACTTATTCTATATACCGCTATTGACAAGTAAATGCAGGACCATTTAAACCAAACTCTGAAACCCAGTTAATACACTAGGAAAGTGGGTGCATGGTATCAACTAGAATCATAGCTGTCAGCAACCAGGCCTCTTCTGCTCTCCTTACAGCTGTGAACACGCCTGTTTGCTTCCCAAGAGTACTTAAATGGCATATCTCGGCAGTTAGAAAAAACAAATTTGTACATCTATTTTTTTTTTCTGGGAAAAGAAAAAGATGAAGGAGCCCCATGGCCCTGTAGGTAAAGCTTGGACTGTTAGCGTCTCAAAGCCACCAGCTCCTCAGGAGAAAGTTGGCGCTACCTGCATAGCGTCACCGTGGGTCAGAATCAGCGGCTTGATGGGGACGTGTTTGATTTCTGGTTTTCCAAAACTACTCTTTAAAGGGAATTAGACAGACCTAGAATTTTAGTTCTTATAGAGCTAGGAGTTGAGACGCATCTGGTGTATGGCTGGCCTTAAATGCTGAGCTCAATGACCAGCGGAGATGCCTCCCTCACCAAAGGGGTGGACCTTCTGCAGCCTGGCCATCTTGTCTTACCTTCTGTCCCCGGGAGCCCTTGGGACCAGGAGGCCCGGAGATCTCCAGACAGCTCACTTTGTAGCACTGGAAGAAGACAGAGTGAGAGCAAGTAAGTCTGACAGGCATGACAGTCCTGTGTAAGGTGGGGACAGGGCTGGTGACATTCTTGGCCTGGTGATTCTTAGGATACAATGGGTCCTTCACACACTAGGGTGGCAATCCTCTGTCCAGTGTGTATCTTGAGGGGGGGGGGTGGTGCGCAGGTCAGGGCCACAAGAGGAGGGCCAGGGGTAGGGAAGGAGGTTCACTACCATTGGGTCAGAGGCAGAAGGGGTAGGCCAAAGTTCTAGGAAGAGATGAGCCTCCCAGGTGAAACCAAGGGCCTGTGGCTCTAGTGACCCAGAAGGTGCCCCCCATAACCCAAGAGGATACCCATACTAGCACCTGTCCCTGTTCCCAACTCTGCCCTAAGACCTTCTTGAACTTCTGATGGGTGTGGCTGGCAGGGGGTGGAGAATCTGGCCCCAGAAGGATCTGATGCCCATGAGGGGTGCTGACCCACAACACCCACCTCCCATATCTTGAGACCAGGCAAGGAACTCAACTGTGTGAGCTGAATGAGGGGGTGGGGGGGAGGGGAGGGGAGTCCTGGCCGGGCTGCCCAACCATGCTGTCACTGCCACCTCTGCATGGGGCCCGAGCCTGTGCCCTGCCTGGGAGTGAGCAGGCGCCCAAAGCCTGGGGGCTGTGCTCATCTGCCAGCCCAGTGCAAAAGGGAAGGGCGTCAGGTCTCAGGAGAGGATAGAGAGGGAGGAGCAGCTTTGGGGAGTGTCCCTCCGCAAAGAGGGCAACCCAGGGGGCTGAGGCTGGCTGGTGAAGAAGGAAATGCTAAGAGAGGTGCTGTCCACAGGAACCAGAAGGGGCAAGCATGGGGGCTTGGTTCTTAGCTACGGGGGTCAGAGTCTGACCATAGACTCTCTCTGTCCCAGGCGTGGAAAGCCCGGGTAGAATTATGATTGAGAACAACAGAGTAACCAGGGTTACGGAGCATGACGTGTGCACGAGGTGTGCTTCCACAGAGGCACTGAGCTGTGCTTGTTAAGACAGGACATCAGCCTCAGAGATCTGTCTCCTTTCAGGGGCTGTGAGCTGGCTGTGAGTGCCCGAATCCAGACTTGAAGGGAGATGGGGAGAAAGCAGTGGGGCTGGAGGTGCTGGTCCCCACACGGGCTGTTGGCACCGTTGGAGGAACAGACATTGTGCCCAGGTGCCAGGTCTAAGAATGCTCCCAGACAGCTGTGCGCTCCTCCTGACACCGGCTCACCTGCCCAGCCGGGGGGAGTGACTACGCTTCTCTACTTACTGTCCTTGTGGGGAGCCCTCAACCAGCCCGACCGTGGGTAGAGCCCCTCACCCCGACAAGGAGCACACGTTTGGTTCCTGCTGCTCTTGCCCAACTGCCCCCCCCCCGCCCCCCACCGCAGGAAGCTGGGGATGAGGGGTGATGTCCAGTGGGCCACATCCTAGAGGGCAGGGCCAGCAAACACAGGTCAGGAAGCACCACTCACCTCGCTGTAAGCTTCATGTTTCTAGAAAAGACAGAAAGAACCAGGTTAGACTAAGACCGAGACTCTTCACAGAGATCTTGTGTCCAGTGGGGCTGCAGGACACGGGTGGATGAGCCCCTGAGCTCACCTCCTCTGGTTTCCTCCCTGCTGGAGGGAGAAAACTGAGGCTGGGAGTGGGCAGTGGTCCTGGACGGTCCCCAGCCCTTGGCAGCTCACCATGACCTTGATGATGCGGTTGATGGTGTCCTCGTTGATGTCCGTGGTGCCCGGGTACATGGTGGCGTAGTTGCTGCGATACAGCTCATACGGCGAGTTGGCTATGTCCCGCAGACCTTGCTCGTTCAGGTTGGGGTTGGGGGCCACGGCGAAGAGCCGGATGCCTGCCTCTCGAGCCCGCTCGGCCTGCAGCTTGATGCCCCCACAGGGGCTGCCAGTGACATGGCCATCAGTGATGACCACGGCAAAGGTCACCGCCTTCTTGTTGCCTACACGCCGCACCTCCTGCGTCATGTTGGCCAGCGCACAGTCGGTGAAGGTGCCGCGACGGAAGGAGCGGATGCTCTGCATCGCCCTGGTGAAGGAGTCGCGGTCGCTGCCCACTGGGCTGAACACCTCCACCTGGTCGGAGAAGTGCAGGCCGCCGTAACGCCAGCTCAGGGCCACCTGGTCCAGGTAGGAGCTGTCCTGCAGCTGGCTGATGAGCTGCGGCACGAACTGCTGCATGTGGTAGAGCAGGCTGTCTGTGGGCGACTGCATGGTGACGCTCTCCGAGGTGTCCAGCACAAAGTACACATTGATGGGGCAGTCGGTCTTTTCTGGGGGGAGGGGGGAGGGGCGGGCGGTAGGGTATCATCACAGTCCACCAGGGAGGAGGGTCTATAGTATCAACCTGATGCCCGGTGTGAGGCACAGGGCAGGGTCATGGCCCACCATGGATAGGCCTGAAAGGTAAAGCTGACCTCTAGAGATGGGGAAGATGTATCATGCCATGTGTGTGTGTGTGTGGGGTGGGGGTGGTGGCGGGCTGTGGTGGGGGTTCAGCATGCCTAGAGCAGCTCCCACAGTTCCATGCATGGGGCTGGTGGTCCTGGGCTCTGCATTCCCACTGCCCAACCCCAGAGCTTCCAATCTCCCTGAGCTTGTGTGCTCTGTGTTACACCCCTCTCCCTCACAGGGACCTTTACACCCCACCAGGCGGTACCTGGGCAATTATTGGGTCTGTCAGCCATGGCAGGAGAAATGGCTTCTTGTTGCTGGGCGTGGAGCAACCCCACGAGCCCCCAGAGCAGGAGTGCACAGTAGGTGCTTTGGAACATCTTGGCAGCACCTATGCCTCTGGCGTCCTGCAGCAAGGGGGAAAGGCCACTATAGACCCCCATCCCTACCACACACAATGCCTGTGCCCCTCCTGCCTTGCAGCACCCAGGAGGGAGGGCAGCAGGATGGGACTGTTCCTCACTCCTCAAGGAACTGGAGACAGATGCTGCATGCCCCTGGGCTAGGAAGGCCATGGTACCCTCTCCATCCCCCCAGCACACACATTGAGTGTAGGCTGTGGAATCCTGAATGCTCATGGTCCATCCCTGTTCTGCAGAGCAAGGGTGCTTCAGGCAGAGGAGTTGGAATTAAACACCAGGGGCATTTGTCAGAGGTGACCACAGGGCCAAAGGGTCCTCCGAGGGCAACTGGGCAGAGGGACATCAGGCCACAGAAAGGAGAGACCCGGGGCTGGGGAAGGCTTGGGTGAGATGTCGACTGTCTGACTGACTTGGCACTGACCAGGCCGAAAGAATGTAGAAGAGAGACTCCCCTCACACATGTACAACACCCACCCACATCCACCACACCCTCCATACCACCCTGTGCACACACATACCCTCACCTCTCCTAAACGTCTACCAAAAATCCCAAGTGGAAGGCATGTGTTGGCTCAGGAACTGGGAGTGAGGGGCTACAAGGAGAAAGCCCGGTGGACTTGTTGCCCTCCTACAACATGTGATGTGATGGGTGGCCCAGCCCAGTGGATCCGCCCAGCCCAGGGCTGAGGAGGCATGTCTCAGAGCCCAATAGGCCCTCAGGACTGCCCTGGGGGTGAGGCTAGATGGGGACAATCTCAGTACTCTGGTGGAAGTGTACAGCTGTCTGCAGTTCTCTTCCCATCCCCCAGGGTCCTGCCCACCTCCCTTTGTGGGTGAGACAGGTCGAGAGAAACTAGATGGAGCAGGGAGGACCCATACGACCTCAGAGGGGAAAATTGCCGAGATAGGAGAAGGTGCTGTCAGAATCCAGATTTGCCGTGATCTTAGTTGAGGAAGCAAATGAAGGCAAAGAACACCAGACTGGGTATTAAAGGAAGTGCCATCAGTGAATTGGCTACTAAGGCAAACAAATGATCTCAGAATTCAGAGAGAGAGAGACTATACAGTAATGGAGATGGTACAAAATATTGGTAAAATGGAGATCAGATCCTAGAAATGATGACAAATATGTACAGTGGCCATTCAAGAAAAGAAAGCAGAACCCTAGGAAAGGCAACCATTAAATAAATAAGAGACATGCAGTGAGCTCAAGATCCAAGAGCACGCGGACTCCGAAGCAGATGGACTAACGGTGTGATCAAGAGGAAGCACCTACCTAGAGCAGACGGTCATATTGGGCTGAGAGAGGCAGCCTCCCAGATGGCCTCCACTTACTCTGCTTAGACTGCAGGCCCCTCGCAGGGCTCTCACAAAAGGAAGTGCTGATGGGCACTCCCAAAGCAAGGTCATCAACGACACTGAGGTTTTTGTCGAGCTCTCTCTTGGATTGATTGCTAAGCCAGAGAACCATCACTATCGCATGAAGACACTCAAACAGCCTATGGAGAAGCCCCAGTGGAGAGGAACCGCAGCTTCGAGCCAACAGCCATGTGGACGCGCCGTCTTGGACATGGATCCTATCGTTTCCATCAAGCCGTCAAGCGACGACGACCCCAGTCCATATGTGGATTGTACTCAGACCCCAAACCAGAACCACCACTGAGCCGGACCACGCCTGAACCCCTGACCACAGCATGTGAGATAGACACGCGTGAACGTTTCACACCACCACGTTTCAGTGTAATTGGCTACACAGCAACAGCAAATGAATAAAATCATAATCTAGAACCATCTAGTTCAGCCGTTCTCAACCTGTGGGTCATGACCCCTTTGGGGGTCAAATGACCCTTTCACAGGGGTCGCCAGATTCATCACAGTAGCAAAATGACAGTGATGAAGTAGCAATGAAAATAATGTTATGGTTGGGGGTCACCGCAACATGAGGAACTGTCTGAAAGGGTCGCGGCCTGAGGAAGGTGGAGAACCACTGGTCCAGTTGATCCAAGTGCCCAGCGCCCCTGTGTAGTGCAGAATGCAAGTGTGCGCCTCAAGACTGGGGGCCTCAAGGCTGTGCTTTGCAAGCAGGTCACTGGACCTTTCTTCTGAAGAGTCATGAATGTGTCTGAAACACCGACCTTTAGGTTAGTAGCAGCGTGCTTAACCATTTGTACCAATCAGGAACTCCAAATAACTAGTGCAGGCATCAAGCTTTTTTCTCTCCCTAATATTAGATGCCAAGAAACAATGACTCCAGAACTCTGGGAGGAAACAACACCCCTCTAACCCCCACAACAAACAATTAACAAAGTAATCAAAGGATCATCTATTCAGCTCATTTCGGACAAGGGTATCAGGAAGACCACCCCAGATGTAAAAGGGCTCAGGTCTATGCCACTTACATACCCTTCCTGAAAACATCCTGGAATCGATAGAAAATTAAGAGCAACGGATTAAAAAGAGAAACACAGAATCTGCTGAACAATGAATTAAAAAAGCAAAGAATCTCAAGAATTATAGAAAATGAAGAGAAAAATGAAAATAGTCATGGAGCATAAAATGAATGCCAGAAATATCAGAAAGGTCACTGGGACAGTATATATGTATATTATATATGAGGGGGTTTCAAAAATTGATGGGAAAACTCTACTATCTTTTATTTCCATTTTCAAACTGTTAAATGTTCTGAAGGCCCCTCATAGCAACTTCTTAAGTTTTAGAGACTTGGGGATAGAGGATAAGCATTTTTGAATTAAAAAAAAAATCAGGTCTAAAGTAAGCTTCAGAGAAGTTTAAATGAGTTGAAAAAGAAAAAGAAAATGGTGCACATTAGAATTCTTAAGGCATAATGCAAAACTAGACATTAATAAGAAATAGAAGAAAGAAATCAAATCACCTGGATGCTTAAAAGCTCTCTCATAAAAACATGTAGGATTTAATGATGAGAATGTTACACATAAAAACACGAGAGGGCCAAAGCTATACTCATGGGCAAATATATAGCCTGAGTGTCTTTTGTTATTATATAAGAAATCAGTATGAACAAATTAGGCATATAGTTTAAGAAGATGAGGGTGAGGAACTAATAAAATCAATACCAAGAAATTAAGAAGGATAAAGTGATAAAAATTCAAGAAGCATCTTAAAATTTGATCAAAATGTACCCAAAGTAACAAATACACCCAAGGGCTTACTCTTTGAAATCTAAGTAAAGCATAACAATATTTAGCAAGATAAAACAGATGAAATACAGAGATAGAAATATGCAAATTTAGGAAGCAATAAACAATATAATGATAGATGAGTAAGGTATTTTCTCCAAAGCATACAAGGTGCAGCACCACGCTAGTAATGTAAAAGATCATTTTCTGGGGAAGATCTCAAGAAGAGATACAAAATTGACTGGATTCTCTTTCCTGTAATGAATGCGAATGCTGGGAAGTAAATGCATCTCCCAAATGCATCTCCCAAAAACAAAATCAAAACCACTCCTATTTTATTTAACCTATTTCAGAGCATTAAAAAAAAACATTAAAAATTTATTTTTAAGCACGACGTTACTCTGAGGTAAAAACCTGGTAAAGGCAATCTCAGGAAGGGAATCTATAAACAAGTTTGTTTTGAATTTAGTTGCAAAAATCCTAAACTATATTATAAAATCAAATCCAGTAACTTACCAAGGAATATCACACCACAGTACTGTAATAAATGTAATGCTGCAACATGAGTGAAGTTTGTGTAATATCTTTAATGGATCCCAGAAGTATCCATTTCTGATTAAAAAGAAGGAAGACAAGGGAAAAGTGAATAGGAACTCAGGATAGATTAACATTTTAAAGGATATAAGTTTCAAAATTGCCACCATCATATTTTATAGGAAAACTTGAATCGTGGTTCTCTGTGGGTCATAGATCTCCTTAAGAAGCTGAACAATTTTGCTTGACATAAATGCATAGATGGTATAAATGTACACAGATATAATGCCTACTACTTCAGAGCATCTCCTTATGGACCCAAGCATTCCTGAACCAGAGGAATGCCCATTAGAGTTGAAAAACAAAAATGAAAACGACATGAGGTCTTATCTTACCATATTACAGTTGTGTTAGAAGCCAATGCAATAAGACAGGAAAAGTAAAAGAAAAACATAAATCTGGGAAAGAAAAAGTCACAGGTGAACTGTCTATCTAAAAACCACGAGAAGCTACACAAAGCTTACACACTCACACACACACACACACACACACAATGAATTCAGCAACCACTTAGAGGGAAAACATACAAAAACCCAGATCAGCAACAACCGATTAAAACTGTTATAAAAAAATGATACCATTCACACTAGTAAGAAAAACAGTATAAAACCGAGGCACAGACTTAATAAGAATGTGAAGATTTTATGAAAGGAGAGGAAAAAAAACCCTAGAAAATTTCCTGATGAATAAATTACAGAAATGGAACTTTACGTGTGGATGGGAAATACAATTTTAAGAATGCAAATAATTTTTAACCGAATCTACAATTCAATACAAAATTTCTAAGACATTTATTTGCTGGTGGAATTTGTTGCAATGAATGAAGATTTACCCAGAAGAATTGGCAAAATTCTGAGAAAAATTGAGAGCAAATTTGTTCTACCAAGTGTAGATGATATGATAAAATCACTGCCATTAAGCAATTTTGGCTTGGGTGCTGGAGTAGATGAAAATACCACCCAGCAATTGGCAGAAGGACACGAAGAATTCGGGAAACATGAGGATGACCTGATTTGAAGAGCCGAAGGGGGCTGGCACAAAGGCTTACCATGTGACTAAAAATATAGGCAGATCATGACCTCACATGCTGCACCTAACAGAATTAAATATCTAAGTCGTGACCATGAACCAAAATGTCTCAAAAGAAAGTCTCTTGCTCATCGCCATCGAGTCAATGCTGACTCATGGCCATCTTAAGGACAGGATAGACTTGCCCCCTGTGAGTTTCCAAGACTCTAACTCTTTACGGGAGTAGAAAGCATGGTCTTTCTCCCTCAGAGCTGGTCAGTGGTTTGAACTGCTGTCCTTGAGGTCAGCAGCCCAAAGCATAACCGCTACACCTCCTTCTGATTTAACAGAAGGGACAAAATGGCAATGAAAGATGTTCTAATATTATTCTGCACCAGACACGATTCCTATATCCATTCATTTAACACACGCAGTGGCCTTCGGAAGGTAGAGAGTATCATCAGACATATTGTACAGATGAGGAGACTGAGGCCCAGTACACATAACCTGTGCAGAGTGTCGGCGAATCATGGCAGGGTCGTGTGTGAACCCAGGCTGGGCGGTTCTGAGCCTGCACACTGGGTGACTGTGGTTTGTGGCAGAGCTGGCTCTGCCTCATGTCAAGAGTGAAAGAAATGCTGGGCGCCATTTTCTCAACCATTGGTGTATTTAAGGCCATTGTTACAACTACTTTTGTCAACCCTTTTAATTGGTGGTTTTCTTGTTTGCACCGACCCTCGGCATCAAACAGGATGCTCTTTTCTAGCGGGCGTCTGGATGCCTACGCTCTCTCAAGGAATATCAGTGCCAACTCGAGTCGAGAATTGACTCTCATAAGGTTTAAAAAGCTCTTCAAAATCCATAAAGAAAGAGCACCCCCGTTAGGAGCCTGGAAATTACAACCAGACAAGTCTCCCCTCCTCAACAACAAAAGGTCAGTACCGTAATTATTAGAAAAAAAAAGTTTACTGCTCTAAAACCCAAAGAATAAGCCCAGAACAAGCCACTCTTATTTCATCTACATAGCTGGCAAAATAAGAAAATAAAGGCACTCTGGTCCATTTGGGAGAAAGGCTCAGCCGCTTTGCCCTCTGGGAAGTGAGGGGTGGGCCAGCGAAGGACACCAGTTCTCAAGCAGCAGTGCGGCTCCATGCTTGAGACCTTTGTCCGGGGAGCAGCTCTCCTAGAACCAGGGCCCCTTCAGAGTTGGACGGGCCTCTCACATGCACTCAATCCATTCAGTGCCAACTGCCTCCGGAGGCTGACCCAGGGGTATAGGTGTGCTCAGAGTGCACAGATGCAGGCTGATGGATTGGAATATGGTCCACTCCCAGGCCGAGCCCTTAGGAAGGGTACCAGGCCCCATTCCCTGTTCCTTCCACGCCCTCCTTTTCAATGAGCAACTCGTCACCCTGGTTTGTGGCTCAGTGGGTCCCACACTAGGGGTCCTGCCTTGGCTTTAGATGAAATGGAAGCTGGGCCAGAAGAGGAGTTGACTTATTAAAAGCCGAGAGTACGCTTAAAAGGAAATGCCCAACTTCGTGATTTTTGTTTTTTTTTTCCTCTTAAAATGACCATGTGCTCCATTTCCCCAACATTGCTTTGTGGCAGTTAAAAGGGGACGTGTGCCTGGAGCCACCAGCAGGACGTCCTGTTAGGTAAGAAGGTGGATGTGTTACGTCTGATTTCACTCTTCAGATGGGAACTGATGGCCTCACCCTCGATCGGGGCTCGGATGAGCTGCTGACTCTGCTCAGGGGCCCTGCAGATGTGCTGTCCACTTTCTACCAGGCGCTGCCTCTGAGGCCCGCCCTGTTCCCCTGGGCTTGCGATGCTCCACCCCCTCCCCTCCCGGCGGGAGTCCATAGTGGGGCTCCTTTAGGACAGAGCGCCTGTGCTCGCGGCACGTGTGGACAGAGCTCCACAGAGGAGGCTGACCTCCCTGACACGCGAGTGTCCTGTCCTGTGTCATACAGGGTGTGCAGCACACATCTTCTCAGCGTGTCCACTGTGGATGCCCCGACACTGCCCAAAGTCCTGAGAAGCCCACCTCCGGACCCTAGGACATGGAGCGTGGGGACAGGGTCACTCCTCAGAGAGGACACACCTGGATCCCCAGTCCACGGCCCAGGTGGGTGCCCAGTCCCTTCAGCTTGGCCCAGGGAGACTTGGTGCCACCTCTGCCAGGGGCAGGGAGGACTTGCTGGCCTATCCCACCCTCCTGCTTTCATTCACGCCCAACACAATTCCTTCCCTTGGAGAGCCCAATGCTCCTCCTGCTGAGGTGAAGCCAGATGAAATAAAGCCTGGGTTTGGCCGCACGACGCTTAAAAGGAAAAAAAACTAAGATGGCTGCCATTCCATAGCTGTTAGTGGAAGGGGGAAGAGAGAGAGAGAGAGATAGAGAATGAATATGGATCGTTTCCTTGGGGTCATTCAGAGAGACGTGACCTATGATCTCTGGGGTGTATGTGTGGCGTGGGGATCCATTCCCTTCCTGCACAGGACCAAGGTGTTCCCCAGGTAAGTACTTGGCTCCGCACTCCTGTTTGGATGTGTGATGCTGCTACCCTGCTCAGTAAAGACAACTGTCCCTGTGGGTTTCCCAGGCTGTAACCCTTCATGGGAGTAGAACGCCTCGTTCTTCTCCCTCCGTAATGGCAGTTTCTGCAATCGGCGCTCCCAGATAGAACATGAGGACGTGGGGCTCCTGGGACTCAGCTACTGTCCCCTGAGGAGTCCAAGGCTGGCTGGATTCCCTCGTTTGGCTTGTCATTCAAGTGCACCCCCTGCCTTCCCCTCCAGCCTCAGTTTCTCCTTGGGCAGAGACTACAAGGTCCAGCCTTGGAGGGATGGTGGGTGAGTGGGCTCTCTTTGTCCCCCAGGAAGGGCATGTGAAAGTGTCACCCCATCCCATCCCTCGGGGCACTGCCCACAGAGTGCCAGCGAGGCCAGGCCCCCCAGGAGTTCATTCCCACCCACCCTTCTCTAGTGCTCCAGGGACCTGGGCCAGCACCAGTTGGAGGCTGTGAGTCTGCTTCCAAGTCCAAGTGGAGTGGGGGTGACCTCTCCCTAAGCCCGCGCAAGACAACAATCAAACACCCAGAACGTGTGCATATGACTACAGATGCTGAGCTCTGCCAGGGGCATTTGGTGTCCAGAGCAGTGGCAGGCCCCTCTGGGCCATTCCAGTAGGCAGAGACAACGGGTGGAGTCAGTCTTAGCAACGCGCTCAGGAACAGAGAAGACCCCTATTGCAGCCCAGATCAGCTCTGCCCCAGAAGAGGCCAAGGAGGGTGGGCAGCTAGCCAGCGCCCATGAACATTAACTTGAACCAACTGCTGGGACGTGGGCGAGGAGGAATTTGGGGCGAGCGCATAGTGGGTCGCAAACACGGGTGTGGCCTGCCGAGCCCCTGGAAAGGAGGGGGGTGGTCGTTATCACATCAGATTTTGATATCCCGGTCCTGTGGCTGGGCTTTAACCGAGGGAGACCCTCCCCAGAG